ATCATACACCACTCATCAATACATCACTCATCATACACCACTCATCAAACACAGCCATCTCTATTCTGTATTTTGCAAAAATGCATGCGCAACGTTTTTTCCTGCGAGAGGTGACGGTGGTTGCTTCGCTTTCGCTCCATTGGTCGGTTCCAACTTGTTTTGTCAAAGAACATCGCAGCTCGGCGAATCAGCCTGCCACATGCCCATTTCCTATAGGCTTATTCTTTTGGAAACTTCCGCCGCCGGCTTGCCCGGGAACTACCTTGTACCAACACGACCCGGAAGGGCAGTCAAGGGATTCAAGTCTGAAGATTGATGCCAAGCAGTTGTCACCGTTGGGTGTCAAAATATTGCTGATGAGGCTGATGAGATAGTTCTCTCAAAAGCTGTAGCTTCTGTGTGCTTGTGTCGATCTGCTTACAGTACCTCAGCATTTTGCAGTCACACCTGCAAACCGGTTGACCACCACCAAAAGGGTCACAGATTCCTACACTAGCCATATAACAAATACCCATACATTGACAGCAATTCAACTTCTCACTCCTCCCTTATTGCTCATGTTCGGCTCTGCGGCTGTGAGTTGGAGCTCTTTGCAGGGAGTGAGCGCCTCTCGTCACGGCGACGGCTTAGCGGAATACGTCTGCGAGGACTCGGGGGGCTTGCCGCTTTTTTCTGAGAACTTCGTGATATGAAATGGGTATGACTTGCGTTCATTGTGTTGGTCATTTCGGTCACGGTCGCGACCATAGCAACGGGAAAAATTAAAGTACAGTAGCTCCTGACGTCAATGTTCATGAGGGGGGTCCAGGATTTGGCCCAACCTGCTGAATGAATGATGATAATGATGGGCCGCCAACCTTTCTCCAGCGCGTTCTTTCCCTTCGCGCTGAACCGCCTCATCGGTTGCTGCATAGCCACTGCAGGGGTAGGGCCTGCGCAACTGATGTCAAGCCTCACGTTATCTGTAGTCAAGCCAGGTGAACAAACAACTTTGCGGTTGGCGGAAGGTAAGTAAGAACATTGTGAACTTATAACCCAAAGCATCATTCGCTCTTCATCCCCTACATCCCGGTCATGGGAGGAGCTTGGGCAGACTGCGGTACTTTGCACATTTCCCCAGTCTGTTTGACCCACTCCCAGGCATTTTAAATCCTGACCTGGCAGATATCCTCAACTAGCAGGTTCTGCTGTGACCCAAAGACATAGAAAGCCTGTTTCCTTGGATCCAAACCGTGAAGCCCTGTGGCACTGGACTTTTCACGAAGCAAACAGAGAAAAGACACATTGATGCCCCTCTTCGGGCCCATAACCGTCCATGGTGTGGGAACCAATGGCACAAACCCTAAAACTCAGGACATCCTTTTGACGTTTTCGCCATGAGGGGAGCACCACAGACCCGGTGTCAAGCTTAGAAAAAAAAAACGTCCGCCTCGAAAGACGTCTGCCACCTCCACCTCGACAAATTGCAGACAGGGCATGCTTCGGGAGGCAAGAGCCTTCTTTATCAGCCATGAATTCAGAAAGAGGTCCCACTGAGTAAGTGCATGGGAACTGGGTCTTTGGAAGTAGCATGGAGTCAGGCATGGAGTCATGGAGTCAACTCGTTTTGCAAACAACCACGGAAAAAAATTGAGTTAAGCTCTGCAAGAAAATAGCCTACCATTGAGGCTGCCCTCCATGGAAGAACGATATCGATAGTCGAGTTGGTCTCGCCTGAACGGCCTCCTCCCGCGGCTGCACCTGTGGAAAAATGTTCCCGTCTGAAAGAACTCTATAGTCTATATACAAGAAATCAAAAGTTGGTGAGAGTTTATGGTTTCAATTTTGAAAAGACTTGTACTTGTCGAATGTGTCTCGCGCTTTCATTGAAGTGCGGATGCCTATGCTCTGCTGTTTGGTCCCTCTCCGAGACCCCAGCCGATCCAGATCTGGCTGGCTGCATCTGCACCAGAGGCCGCAACTGAGGAGGCAAACAATCAAGTAACCCTTTATCGAAAGTGAACTGAAACATTTCCAATGTTTCCATCAAGACACTTGTTCACTGACAGAATTGCCCAATGTCCGCTCTATTCATCAAGCATAGCCTTATGGGCCACTCTGCAGGGTCACACACACGTGCAGCTTGGCTCGCTCAGCGTCGGGGCTCCGGGCTGAATCGATGGGCCTCGGAAGGCGAACTGGTCCAAATGATAAAACAAGGGAGACTAGTTCGCTACTAGCAATAGGAAGCTCCTATGTGTGGATGCAGGATAGCTCACTTTTCTTCAAGGAAGCTCCCCCAGCTGTTTCGGCTCACCCCCGGGCAGCTCACGCCCACACGCGAGGGCCGGGGCTCAGCCGCTCACCGCAAGCGTGAGGGTGGAGCGTCCACAGACCAGGACCTCACCAGGTCGTGGATCGCCATGGATACTAAGGTGACGACGAGAACAGAGGGAAAGTGTCGCAAGCTGGCTTCATAGATTGGGCTACTATGGGATTGTCAGACTCTCTGGCATCCAGTGTCAGGGCTGCTCTCTGGTCAATCACCACCACAGGTGTCTGCAGGGATGATGAAGCCGACTGGGTCCTATTTGGAGAAGTGGTTGCTCTTGAGCCTGGATCCCCTCCTTGTGTCTCTCTACGACGTACTGCCTTGCTGACCTCTGGTGTTGTGCACCAAGATGATCACTGGGGGACCTTCACTCTTGCCCTTCCAGTTGAGCACAAGAGAGTTGACTTTGCACCAGGCATGCTGATTGGGGTGTACACCAAGCCGGCGAATCGAACCGAGCCTTGCAAGATTGTTGCGGATGAATCTGTTCCGGTCTGGAATATTTCCTCTTTTGACAGCTGCTTGGCATGGAATGTGACCCACCTTTTTGCAGGCGCTTATGAAGGGTGGTTGCGTGCTATGTGGTGGGCTCAACAAGCCAACATAGGTGTCTCCTTTGCGACCCACACATCCGTTGACTGGTGCCCAGAGGTGATGAAGACGTGGGGCTACAATCATGGCTCCACAGTTCATGGCTGCCCTATTCCGGTGTCCTTCAACCCTTCTGCGAGCATCAACGGGATTCTATCTGATATCAGTGAGCGCAAAGCTGTGCATACGAAACGTGTGTCTCGGCCCCCGGTGATGCGGGGGCAGGCCACGCGAAAACGCGAAAACCGCGAAAACGCGAAAACGGCGGAAACAAAGTGCTTGGATTTGACACAGCTCACGGTTTTCTAGAACACCGCATCGGCGCGAAAACGGCGAAAACGCGAAAACGGCGAAAACGGCGAAAACGCGAAAACGGCGAGTAGTTGGGGAAGAGTGCCAAGTATTTGCAAAAGACCAGTTTCAGAAGAATGGAGAGTTGCAGAATAGGACTTTGTTCCTTTGATAATAAGCCTCAGTAGCACGCAAAAAGGAGTGTGTTGAAAACGTTAAACTGAGAACTAGACGACGGTTGGCCCGAGAGCGAGACATGTAATTGTCCAGCACTGTCGAAAAGATGTATAGAAAGAGAGAAAGAGAGGGTGGATGTGAAGGAGTGATAGTGTGGATGCGCAGGTGCAATATAGATTCTGTAGATGTATGGAGGTGGAGGTAGATCTGTGGATGTGAGAGTGCAAAGATGTAAATGCACAGAGACGAGAGAAAAGATATGTAGAAAGAAAGAAAGACAGGACAGATGTGAAGGAGCGACAGTGTGGATGTACAGATGTGATATAGATGTGCAGATGTGTGGGTGTGGTGCGGTGGAGAGGTAGATCTGCGGATGTGAGCGTGTGACGGTGTATATGTAAAGAGGTGAGGGGGTGTATGACGTAGATGCGTCGATGCAACGGCTGCGCAACGTCAACCTTAGCTGTGCAAGTACAATGCTGAAGAAGTTCAAATAGAACTGAAGAACGTACATTTCACACTGAAGTTTCCACGAGCAGGGCGACCTGAGAGTAAACGACGTGACGATCATGACAAGCGACTCGTGTATTCCAAGCGAACATCGTTTGTCATGAAGGTGTGAAGTACACACATACTAACGTCACGATGACTCTTTTGTGGCAGCCACTTATGAGTAAGCAAAGTAGCTAAAATTTGTCAACCTCTCAAGAGAGCCGGCTGGCGCCAGAGATGACTCAGCCGCGAGAGATGACTCATCCGCG